GATATTTTATGAGTTGTAAAAATGTTCTATTGTGAAGTAGGTAACCCACCTGAATCGGTAGAATAATTTATGATTAAAAATACACTGCAAGTCAGAACATACAATGAATTTGAATAAAAATATTTACATATAACATTTTTATTGTTTAAAAAAAGAATTATAATGTGGACGTCCAGACCGAGTAGACCGATAAATATTTGTACAACTTACATTTTGGATCAGTCGCTTAATACGAGTATAATTTGCAAGTACCTATCCACTATTTTTATGTCATGGCAAGTAAGTATTTCATGACATTTGATAACGTTCGTGTTCAAATTTGTATTGTTGCATTCGGAGGCCATAATATTACTATGGGAGTACTTTTTTTTTCGTGTTGTGTATTTACATTTTTTAAAACATTATAGAAAAATATAAGTATAGGTACTAGTATTCAATTCAATTAAAAAATAAAAATATATTTTTATTGATACTAAAATGGTTTTTATACGAAGAGCGAACGACGAATCAGAGTACGTATTGTTAACCTCACCCAGAGATTAATAATTTGAGGTCACTTAGATGTACCACACTTGTTGAAGCGAATTTAGATTCATGTCCCAAGTAGCACCCGTAGGTTCCAGGAGTCCTATTACTTACAGGACAGTTCCGTTAAATTTTTGTGAAAAAAAATACCCCCCACAATGAGAATGATGTCCATTACATAGCCAATAACAACCTATAATCTCCCGTTCGTGCCAAGGCCACATTGTTCTACAAAATATAAATAATAATATATTGTCCCCGTTCATTGTGTTCTGTTAAATTTGTTAATTCAGTGATATTTCTTATATGCATACTGCTGTTATTAAAAATCCAAATGGTGTCCATTTAATATATAAGTTAATAAATAAACATCATTAAGGTAGGTAGGTATGCAATAGTATAGTAACAATAATAATAATAATAATTAATAATAGTTAATATTATTAAACAAACAATTGTCGTATCGGATCCCATTACTGCCGTCGTCACGATAAACCTATTAATTAAGATTACGTATTTAAAATTAATTGGTTTCCGTTATGAAATAAGAATATATTTGTCACTCAGAAAGTATGATAGAGGCGAGCTGGAATAAGTTGGACGCATGACTAGATACAATTTATTGTGAAGAAGATTTTTTAATGTGGAAATCGATTCGATAATCATCAATACAATGTACTATGAAGCGTATTTTCGTATGATCACGACAATATTTTAGTGTCGTATACATAAAAAAAAAAAACAAATAGCATTCATTTGAAATAATAAAATTAATATGAATACATAAAATATGCATAATTATTTAAAACATTAAATTTATAATATTTTTATGCTTGTATTGAGTGTTAATTGTACGTATAATGAACTGGCTTCTTAAAAAAAAAAAAAACTATTTTATGTAAGTTATATTTTAATAAAATCAATAAATACTTTCCCCGAAACACACGCAAGTAACAATATTAATAATTATAATATTTAGGTTAATAACAAGTCAATTATATTTTTAGAAAACGATATTTTTATTTAAAACTCTTTATATCTACAGTCTCGTCAGTTATCATCCTTGGTTTTATACTGAATAACTATGAAATGGTAGTTTTTAAAACAAAGTGGTAAATTATTTCGTTATTTTTAGTACTTTGGTACGTTGTTTTTAAGGTATTGCAAAAATAAATCGTCCTCGTGATATTAATATGAAAATATTCGTTTCTTTTTCTTAATTAGTCTATAGTGAAATCGCCAATTTAAGCACGATGCATGTGTTGACGAATAACAACCCACTAATGGAGTTTTAAAAATGTTTCAGGAAAAATATTTATGAGAGAGTTTGAGAGAATTTTTTGTTGTGCATTCAATACTGAGTTACAAATGTTAAGAAAATAGCTGAAAATAGATTTTAAAAAAAAAAATGTATTTATTTATTTTTTGTAGAGGTACCTATGCAAAAGTGTTTCAGAATAATTGTTTTTTTGTGTAGGTACTGTTTCCAGCAAATAATACCATTTGACGATGGAGCAATGGAGTTAACATACATCGACTCTATTATAATGTATGAACCCTTTACTAATACATATTTAACTAAAATACAAAATAATTAAAATAATACATAGGACATGGATAATAGTATATGTTTATTTTATACTAATTACTTACGAATAAGTAATATGATATATTTAAATATTGTTACATATTTTACAGGTAAAATTAAGTCAAGAATTTTAATATTTAAATTGAAATAAAAAAATAAAAAAAATAAAAGCTGGTAAGTGGATATCTCTTTGCTGTACAGTAAGTTACAAGTGAGTAGTGTTTGAAGTATGAGAAATATTTCATGAAATATTTCATTGAGTTGTGAAATATTTCACAAAAACGTGAAACATTGAAATTTTTTTTAACACAAATAAAAACACAATTTATTTATTTTTTTAACACAATGTTCAGTGTTCTAAATTCTAATGTCAGAATTCAGTAAGTATACAATATACATGTATAATATTGTATACCTACTTGTATCATTTAAACATTAAAATATTTAAACATTTTGAATACCAATTTAAATGTATAATACCAAAGGTTAGGTATACATACAGGTGCCATATAGTGATGAAGGTAATTTATGACAATTATAATATGTAAATATAAAAATTATTTAAAAATTAAACAAAATATATTAAAATACTGAAATATTTCACATATTTTGAAATATTTCATTTTTTTAAATTTCATGAAATTTTCAAACACTACAAGTGAGCCACTGTAATCGAAAGTTGTTAAATTTGGATTCAATGGTAGAAAACTATTGTATATGAAAAACGATTTTGAGCGAAGACCTTCTGCCAGCCTATAAATATTACTAAGTAGGTAAAGTTTATGATATCATTATGATTAGAGTATACCACATAATTAATTGTAGTACAAAGCATTATTATCTACTACAGTAGGTTAAATGGAAATGTCATTGTGTGTATAAAATATAATAATATACTCTAAAGTTTCATAATATATCCACTAATAATATTTTTAAATTACAACCATATAACTAATTGTACGTATTTTGTCAAAATTCCAACTTTAAATTAGGTGTTATAAAAAATAAATTGTCACTTTGTATTTTTAATATGTTTCAACTGCCATTGTAACAATACCTAATATATTATTAGCCTTGTATTCAATTTTGCATTGCTATCCAGTTTTCATAGGATCTAGGAATATAATTTCATTGCAATCAATATATTATTAATCATTTAAGGCGATGACAAAAAAAAAAAAAAAACAAACCGACTAACCGCTATAATTTAATAGGTACGCATTTTCGCTCTACTTGGAACTTATAATTAATTTTATGCATCCTTTCTGTACATTTTATTGCGTTAAATCAATGTAAGAATACGGGCCCGACTTTTAGTTTTTAATTGTTTTTTACACACCAATTAAGACAATTATGTCTACAAATGTGTTGTTTAGTTATAACATCTCTGTCTTATACATTGTACCGTCGTATAATAATATCTTATTTTGTATATTTTAATCGTTTATAATATACTTCTACCTCTAGGTATGTTTTTTTACACGGACACAAAAATTTGTAAAAAGAGCTCAGCTCACATATATATTTTAATAAATAAAATATGATACTATCATAATTTTATAGCGACGAAAAACTCTCGTCGTCCCACGAAGAGCAAACTTAATATTTCATATTCTAAAAATTGTGTTTTATATCGTGAAAATTGAATCTATAGACTTATTGTGTAGTGGGCGTTCACTCACAAGAAGACGGTATAATATATCTATATTATATATTATAATATTACAGTAACGATGAAGTCTACTCTCCCACCACGTTTGTAATAAACTTGGTTATTAATATTTGCTTTACTCACGGATGTATCTACTTAAGTTATTTTTAGTAAACTTGACTCTCGCTAGTGCGTATAATATATATATTAGGTATGCATAATATGGTGTTATACACATGCATAAGATTATTGTGTATCCATAAAAAGAATTATGTTTGAGCGTTTGAGTTTTAAGAGGAATAAGGCAGACGTGACTTTCTCATAAAGCGTTATTAAAATATTAATACCTTATACGTAGGTACCTATTAAACATTGACTGACGAACCGACTAAATAATAAGATTTGTTCCTTTTCGATCCACAATACCTATTATGGGTTATTATCATTATAGCTGAAATGTAGCAAACATATATGTAGGTACCTATTACGACGTACCATATCTTATTAGTAAATTGAATAATGTATATTTTTTTTTTAGTTTTTCAAATATATATAAGGATCAAATATTATTCGTTAAAGTTTGACCTGTTTGACAGGAGAATATCCCCTCACTTCTCCTCCACCCCTACCAACCTCATCGCTATTCGTTTGACCACCACTGATCAGAAGGGAAAATACGGTAAACACTCGTAAAGTTGTTCGATACCACATACTGCTCCAACGAAGCAGTGGTAATAGTAGCATATTACACGAGTGCCAATATTTTAACCATGAAACCATATTTTAATGGTTAAACTACCAAAACACCAAACACCTCATGGCCAATGAAGATTACCCTAAATAATCATATTATACCCATATTTCTCGAATTCCGGGAATGCTATATAGTATATACCGAATAAATACAAAAAACATCGACTGCACTAAACTCTGTAAAAAAGTCTTCACCAACCTTCAACAATTAGCAAAGCAGTTAATTTATAATACACATACCTACTGTGGTATCACTGTAAATGTCATAAGTGATAACCAGCTAACCTTATTAACAAATTATTAACAAACTGTTTTTTCTCATAATTAATTGTAATAAATAATAAAGTACATGTAAATAATATATTTTGTCTTTTTACTTATTTAAGAATATAATGTTACTATAAGATAACATATAAACATGGCGCAGTCGTAAACGGAAACTACGTTCATAAAATTGTGTATTTGTAAAATAAAAAATCGGAAATGGAGTTCAACAAACCAGCACCACTTAAAATGACTGGGAATATGACGCAGAATTTCAAATTTTTCAAACAACAAGTGGAAATATATATGACTGCCACAGAAACAGATGGTAAGTCTAAGGAAATACAAGTAGCGCGTTTGTTAAACTTGATGGGTACAGAGGCATTAAAAGTGTACAACACTTTAGCGCCTGAAAAAGAGAAAGATAAAGAAATTTCTGCAATTCTAAATAGAATGGAAAAATATTGTTCACCAAGAACGAATGAAATTATGGCGCATTATAAATTTTTTACGGCTAAACAAAATGATGATAGTTTTGATGTGTATCTAACAAGATTGAAAGAACTCATCAAGCCGTGTAATTTTGGTGTGCTGGAGGATAAGTTACTCAAGACACAAATTATATTGGGTATACAATGCAGAGATACGTTGGAGAGGTTGTTACGAGAGGATATGACCTTAGAAAAAGTGGTGTCATTCTGTCAGTCGGTGGAGGCGGCAGAAATTAATTGCAAAGAGTTGGGGAAATCAGCGGAAGTTCATCATATAGTCAACAAGAAGTTTTCATCTTCAAAATCAAAAGCAACCATCAACAGTTGTACAAGGTGTGGTAATACACATTCAATTAATGCATGTCCAGCTTATGGAAAAGTATGTAACAAGTGTAAACGATTAAATCATTTTAGTAGCTTATGTAAATCTAAATTTGACACAGTTCCAAAAATCAATAAAAATAATAAAAGTAATTTTAAAAAAGAAAATAAAAAATTTTTTAAGCAAAATTTAATAAATACAGTTGATTCTGAAACTGAGCTTAATGATGATGATGATTTAATTTTTTCAATAAATCAAGTTAAACTAAGTGAAACAGATTATAAAAAATGGTTTCAAATAATTTATGTCAATAATGTTCAAATTAACTTTCAATTGGATACAGGAGCTGAGACCAATGTTTTGCCGTATAAATGGTATAAAATAATTAATACTAAAGAGCCAATACAACAAACAAAGACTAAAATAGAGTCGTATGGTGGTTATAAATTAAGTACAATAGGCACTGTAGTGTTAAAATGTAAAATTAAAGGATTTGTCAAAAATGTACAGTTTATAATAATAGATCATCCAAACTGTGTTCCTATTTTGGGGTTAAATACTTGTATAAGTTTAAATCTAGTACAAAGAATTAATCAATTAAATGTTAACAAATCAAGTAAACTTGATAAGTTTATTTGTACAAATAAAGAGGTGTTTGAAGGCTTAGGTACTTTTCCTGATATAGTAAAAATTAAAATAATTGATGGAGTAGTTCCAAAGGCGAATCCTCCTCGTAGAGTACCATTAGCGATAAAGACAAGATTAGAGCAAACCTTAAAAACTCTTACTAATAAACAAATCATAGAACCGGTAAATGAGCCTGTAGAGTGGGTCAATAATATAGTAATAGTCGAAAAATCAAACAAAACACTTAGAGTGTGTATTGATCCAAGTGAATTAAATAAGTACATAGTACGAGAATTTTATCCAATTCCTACTTTAGAAGAAATCATACCTAAATTAACGAATAAAAATATTTTTTGTGTTTTTGATCTGAAAGATGGGTTTCATCAATTAAAGTTGGATAAAAAATCCAGTGATTATTGTACATTTAGCAGTCCTTTTGGATGCTACAAATTTTTGAGAGCTCCATTTGGATTAGCCTCTATACCAGAAATTTTTCAAAAATTAACCAATAAATACTTTGGGGATATAGACAATGTAACTGTTTATTTTGATGATATACTGTGTGCGACGAATACCATTGAAGAAATGGATACAACAGTAAAAGAAGTTGTAGCTAGAGCAAAAAAATATAACATAAAATTTAATTCAAATAAAGTACAATTTTACCAAAATGAAGTAAAATATTTAGGATTACTGTTTTCAAAGGAAGGAATGAGGCCTGACAATGATCGCATCACAGCAATAAAAGAATTAGGAATACCAAAAAATAAAAAAGAGTTACAACAAATATTAGGAACAATTAATTACCTTAGGAAATTTATTCCAAACTTATCTGAAATAAGCTCTCCATACAGGGAACTATTAAAAAAGAATGTGATATGGCAATGGACTGATAAAAATACAGAATTACTAAATAAAATTAAAAATTTAATATCAGAAGCTTCAATATTGAATAATTTTGATATAAACAAACCAATAGTTTTACAGTGTGACAGTTCACAAAATGCACTAGGATGTTGTCTGTTACAAGATAGCAAGCCGGTGGCCTTTGCGTCTAGGTCATTAACATCAACTGAGTCAAACTATGCGCAAATAGAAAAAGAACTGTTGTCGGTGACATTTTCCCTTTCTAAATTTCATAATTATATATATGGCAGTAAAATAATTGTTAATAATGATCATCTGCCTTTAGTGTCCTTAATGAAAAAACCAATAGATAAAATAAAAAATAACCGTTTGAGAAGATTAAGAATAAAAACTTTACCGTATACATTTAATTTAGAATATGTCCCAGGACCTAAATTATTTATTGCAGATCTATTGTCTAGAAATATAGTACATAGACCTGTTAATGATGATTCTGAATTGACTGAAATAGTGCATACTGTACAAGTAGCTCCAGAATTAATAATATCAGGTGAAAAGCTTAAACTATTTCAAAAAGAAACTCAAGACGATGAAATATTATCTAGAGTTATTAAATATTATAAAGAGGGATGGCCTAAAAATGTAAATAAGAACATAAATGGAGAAATAAAACATTATTGTAATAACAAAGTAGATATAACAGTACAAGATAGTTTAGTTTATTTTAATAATAAATTAATAATCCCAAAAAATTTAAGAAAAACCATACTTAAATTACTTCATGAAACACACTTAAGTGCTCAAAAACAAAAATCTCTAGTCAAGTCAATATTTTATTGGCCTGGTATTAATTCAGACATATTAGGTTTGGTTGAAAGTTGTAATATTTGCCAGAAATTTAAAAGAAACCAAATCAAACAAACTTTGATAAATCATGAAATTCCAAAATTACCATTTATCAAAATAGGATTGGATATAGCAGAGTTTAGAGGTTTAAATTATTTAGTAGTAGTAGATTATTACTCTCGATGGCTAGAAATTATAAAAATAAAGCAAAAAGACACCATGACTATAATCTCTAAGTTAAAACCATTGTTCAGTAAATTTGGTATACCAATGGAGGTAATTGCTGACAATATGCCATGTGGTAGTGTGGAATTTCAAAGATTTGCTAAGGAATGGGAGTTTGAGGTAAAAACGTCGAGTCCTCATTACCCGAGGAGCAATGGTCTTGCTGAGAAAGGAGTTGATATCGCTAAAAAAATGATACAAAAAAGTAATGAGGATAATCAGGATCTTGAACTCTATCTATTAAATTATAGAAATTCTAAAGTAGCAAAACTAGATTATACTCCTGCACAGTTGTTACTTAATCGTCATTTACGTAGTAAAATCCCAAACACATTTTATAATATGTTGCCAAAGTTAAATTTAGATGCACATAATCATATGATAAAAAACCAACAAAAACAAAAAATATATTATGATAGAAACGCTGTAAAGAAAGAAATTGCATATAATAAGGGTGATAAAATTTATGTACAAAACTATAAAACTCAAATTTGGGAGAAGGGTGAGATTGTTGAAAAACTGAAAACTCCTAGGTCTTATAAAGTCCAGATGGAAAATGGCAAAATATTGAGAAGAAATGTGATTCACATAAGAAAAAGGAAAGTTTTAAGCTTAGAAGGATCTACAACTTCACCTATGTACATAGATAAACATAAACCTATAAAGGAAAAAAGCAAAATTCCTACACCCATAACGACAAGGTCGGGTAGACAGGTTAAAAAACCAGTTAGATTAGAATATTAAAAAAAAAAAAAAAAAAAAAAAAAAAAAAAATTAAAAATTAAAAAAAAAAAAAAAAAAAAAAAAAAAAAAGGTGTGTAGGCAAGGGAATGTCAATAAAGTCAATAAAATAATTTAGTTGTAAGTTGTATGAATATTGTTGATGTTATAAGCTAAGTTTTATTATTATATACATATTGTAAATCTCTTTATAATTATGTAAATTAGCATTATGAATATTGTTGATGTTATAAGCTAAGTTTTATTATTATATACATATTGTAAATCTCTTTATAATTATGTAAATTAGCATTATGAATATTGTTGATGTTATAAGCTAAGTTTTATTATTATATACATATTGTAAATCTCTTTATAATTATGTAAATTAGCATTAAGAATATTTTGGATGTTTTAAATTAAAAAAGGGGGAGATGTGGTATCACTGTAAATGTCATAAGTGATAACCAGCTAACCTTATTAACAAATTATTAACAAACTGTTTTTTCTCATAATTAATTGTAATAAATAATAAAGTACATGTAAATAATATATTTTGTCTTTTTACTTATTTAAGAATATAATGTTACTATAAGATAACATATAAACACCTACCACCTCTCTTATACTTAGTACCTATGTAGTATGTAGAATTAAATAATTTATAAAATAAGCCGATGTTGGTCAACTAATCAAGTATATAATAAATTATATTCTTAGTGTAAATTAATATAAAACCTAATCTGCTAATAACCAGCTCGTCGTTGATAATGCTAAACAAATGTCTAAAAAAAAAAAAACAACAAAAAAATTACAACAGTGCGCAGTTTCTCACTTACCCACCATTTTCCTAAGGAATTGTTTCCGTGTAATTAGATACATCACACATGCAATGCTTTGAAACAAACATGTTATTGTTAAATAGCTCATATTAAGTTATTGTTGTGTTCATCAACAGTTTTAAATCGAGTAAAATAGAATTTTGAAATATATTATTATAAATTGTTCGTTGAAAACCGTTTATAAAAAAAGGTGGTAGTAGATAACCACTGGTAGTACAGTGAGTGTCAGGTCGTCATTGGATATTGAGTAAAGTAACTAAATAGATATTATTAAGTAATACCTAAGGTCATATATAGTAATTAATTTTACTATTTATATTACTAAGTAATGTTAAAAGTACTAAGTTAAATACATATTCGTCCAAATTATTGCATTATTAATATTTAATTATAATAATATTAGTATAATACATTCGATTCTCGATAACAGTCGATGTTGAAGGGAGATAAAAAAATTGCTTCGAGATATTATTAATTATTATTGTAGATAATTAAGCCTTCGGTAATACAACGCTGCAATTCTTGATGGAAATACAGTATGCTACATGGAAATCGATACAAATCGCTTTATTTCAGAACACCTTCGGTGATAACGGGCCTTATCAGTGATTTTAAACTCATATCCATCTGACGATCGGGTCTTATAGTCATGATTGAAACTACTATGTTCAGCGGTGCATCAACTTATTCGATGCGCTGAATTTCAGAACGCTATAGCTTGAAAATTCGATGCATTTTCAAGACGAACATATCTTATCATTTTGATGGCAATACGTATCCACAGCTTTGCATTACCGAAGGCGCAATTATTCTAACACGAATTTAGATATTAGTCTAACCTAACCTCAAGGAGAATAAAAAACTGAGTTTTCAATTTTTTCATGTTAAATGGTGACTAAACGCTATATTATACATTTATATACATTATATTTACTAATTTTTGAGTCCATACAGACTTACCGTAGATCGGTATAATTGTATAAATAGGCAATAGCATACCCTTGAACTACATGTTTTGTAAATGTAATACAGTATAAAATGTATAATACTTAAATGTTTCGAATCCCCATGAAAAATAATTTTTGAATTACAACAAAATAACTAAAATAGTTACTATTTGTTTAAATATCTGATTATGTCCAAATTTTAACTTCTCTATAATAAAAACTATATATTCTCTATATATTTTCCAGATTATTTGGTATCAGTGCGCCAATGTACGCCAATTTATGAGACGCCTATTTTTTTTAAATTTTCAAGTCTTGGGTTTAAAAATTGAATTTGTTTTTGGGAAATTTTGTGAGAATTTGATCTTCAAATGCTTATCGAGAAAATTTATATCTATATAATATATTATTTTTAATCTTTTTAAATTTTTGAATGCTTACTAGTTTTGAGTACAAACTACCTTTTTTTTAATTTTTAATTTTTTTTTCATGGTTATTTTGAAAAGGTAAAATTTGTTACATTCAAACAGTAACACATTATGAGGAACCTTGTATTACAATTTCAAAACCTCCAGGGTATTAATATAACAAATTTTACAAATTTCTAACTTAAAGCGAACACAAAATAATGTACCGAATAATATGTGTTTTAAATGTTTTAAATTAATATTAATATTAAAACACATATTTTTAAACGCATGCAAGGAACCTTGCATTAAATTTTCAAGGATTTTGACGGATATTTATAAATAAAAAAAAGATCGACAAATGGGTACGTGTCTGCATGTAGGTATTTAGAAGTCAAGTAGAAGGGTCACTGTAATGGATGTGTTAAATTTGAATGCAAAGATAAATCATTATAGTATACGAAAATAAATAAATTCTGGGTGGAGACGGTCAGTCAGTATAAAGTAGGTACTTATATATTTTATGATAGGTTTTTGTTATTGTTATTAAATCAATTTTTTTTACCATTACAATAATTAAGGTAGGATAATTTAATTGTTTCCGGAAACATTTCATTTAATATCATATTATTAATATTTAACTATTATTATAGATGGTATAATTAATTATTATATAATATTTTGTATCAGATTATATTATTGTTATTAATTATATTTTAGTTGATATAACCTTGACGTAGAACTTACAGTGCGAATAGGTTCGTTGTATAAATAGGCAATAGAATATAAAAATAATTTGAATATTTTGAAAAAGTTTGACTTTTAACCTCGCTCGCCAATTTATTGTCGAATACCATGTAAACACTGTTAAGATGCTGACAAAGATAGTGTAGTTTACTCGTTTCGAAAACGAATAATAAGTTACGATGGCAGTTACAAGAATTATTTAATAACCATTTTTTTTTTGTATTTTTTTTCAACAAAGGTAAAATTGGTCTGTATATAACTTTTTTTTTCTAACTGATTTTCCCGAAGTTGATTTTTTTAACGCATTGTTTATTGCCATAGAAATGCTAATCAACGATAAACAAATATATATATATATATAATATATAATATATTGAATTAAATTCCTAAAAAATTGTAGCATCTTAATAGATATTTTTGGATATTGTTCCATTGAATAATACCCAAAAACATATCTATGATTCCTCAATTTCCCATGCAGAGGGAAAATATCTAGCAGCATATTCTACTTATAATATTCACGATTGAGTAGTTACAAATGAGCACAACTAATGATGATGTGGATTCATATAGTGTATTACTGTATTAGTATTATAATAAAGTTAATTTAATTTAATTAATTACATTTCAGAGGGTTTGCGTGAAGTGTCTATCCATTGATGAAAGTATTCACAATGTAACTATTTAGAAGTGGAGGTTAGTCGTTCGTTTTATAGATTTGATAATCGTAAATAGTTTATTATGGTATCTCGATTCGTCAATATTATGATAGTAATATATCGTACTTATATTATTATCGTTATTAATTAATAAGAGAGAAAATTGTTTCAAGTCCTCGTGATTAATATTTTACTGATCATGTTGTTACAGCTTTTGCGTACATTTCACATTATAATATCATAAAATATATTCATCACAAAAATTAAATAACAAGTTTGACTTATAACTATACTACCCGGACGATATACGAACGCTGCTAATATGTGTTGGTACAATTTATTATAGGCACCGTCTTTACGACAACTAATAAGTGACGACGGTAGTTAGAAGTTATATGACAATCGTAACTCCGATCGTAACTATGTATTTTATTATACGGTCTCGTTTCACAAATATTATGATAATAATATAATATCGTATAATGACTATAATGTTACCTATTGTCGTTATTAATTATTGATTCGATACCAAGCGTCGTATATTATAAATACTTTAGAATAATAGTCTAAATATTTTAAAAGTTACGCTTTGTGCATCGTATAAAATGATCAAATATGGAATGGATAAAGGTTTTAAGTCCCCAAAATTAATATTATTTAACTGATCGCATGAATACGCGGTGTGTACAGCAACCGTTGCGTACATAGGACATTGCCTATATCATAACATAAAAGTTATGTTAATAACGAGTTTGACCTTTAACCCATGCGCTCGACAATTTATAGTCGCAGGAGACTTGAACGCTGCTAAGATGCGTACAATATAATAATTAGACAGCGCAGTTACGACAACAAATAAGTGACGACGGCATTTACAAGTTATTTGACAATCGTAACTATTTTATTATACCGTCCCGTTTCGTTTCCACACAATATTAAACGCATTAAATTTCTCAAAATATTATGGTCTTAACATAGGTTGAAGGTAGGTGTGAGTTAAAAAAAAATTATTATTTTCAAAGTACGTCTTAATTTTTCTTATATATTTTTACCAAATAAAACATAAACGTGGCCTTCTGAAGAAAAAAAAAAAAAACTAAAAATAACAACTGCAATTTGTAGAAAGTTGTTTATTGAAATGTGCATGTGATGATTTACAATCAATTGTTGTTTTGCATAAATATCACTGATCGCACATTGGGTGCATACCTAATATCTACATAGTATTTTCAAAAATATAATTTACTGAATACCATAAAAAATTACAATATAAAATCAGAATTTTCACACAGATTTCAAACCATAACCTTGGAAACAAAACCTTAATATTTAACAGAAATGAACGATAGTGGGTGGAAATGATACACGCCACTCAAATGTACATTAAAAGACGAAGTCTAAAATTGTTGTATCTTATTAACT